TCATATTAATAAAAGGACTAATACATAGAAGGAAATAACAATTATTCACATATATTTGCCAAATGTTGGCACACCCAACTTCATTAAACAAATGCTACTGGATGTAAAAGCACAAACAGAGCCCAACATAATAATAGACTTCAATATTCCACTATCACCAATAGGTAGGTCATCTAAATAAAAAAAATCAACAAAGAAACCTCAGGATTAATTGATACTATGGACCAAATGGACTAACTAGACATCTATAGAGTGTTTCATCCAGAAGTTGCAGAATACATATTCTTCTCAGCAGCCCAGAAAACTCTCCTCAAAAAGGCTCATATTTCAGGGTACAAAGCAAGTCATAGCAAGTATAAGAAAACTGAAGTAACTCCCTGTATTATATCAGACAATAATGGAAAAAAATCTAGAACTCAATAGCAAAAGAAATTACAGAAAATATTCAAACACATGAAGACTGAACAACACATTGTTGAATGATGAGTGGAGTCACTGAAGAAATGCGGGTAAATTCAAAAGCTCAGTGAATCTAATGAAAGTCAAAACACAACCTACTATAATCTGTGGGATACAGAAAAAGCAATACTAAGAGAAAGTTTATAGCAATGAGTGCTTACCTCAAAAAAAAAAAAAAAAGGGAGAGAGCTCCCTAATGATGCAGCTCATGCTCCTAGAAAAAAAAAGAACACATCTAACCCCAGCAGATGGAAAGAAATAATAAAGATTAACCAAAAAAACTATACAAAGAATCAATGAAACAAAAACATGGCTCTGTGAGATGTTTAAAAAGATGGATAAGGACTTGGTAGAGTGGCTCAAGTGGTAGAGTACCTGCATAGCAAGTGTGAGGCCCTAAGATCAAACTCTAGTACTTTCCCCCAAAAAAGGTTGATTAAACCCCTACCTAATCTGACTAAAAGGAGAAAAGATCCAAATTAACAAAATTAGAGATGAAAAAAGGGAATATCACAACAAACATCTGTGAAATTCAGAGGATTATGAGAACATATTTTGAAAATCTATATTCAAATAAACTAGAAAATATGAAGAAATGGATAGATTTCTAGATGCATTTGAACTATAAAATTGAACCAAGAGGATATAAACACTAAGATAGATCTATAATAAGCTGCGAGATTGAAACAGTAATAGTCTGCCAACAAAAAAAAAGGCCCAGGACTCACTGGATTTACTACCAAAGTCTACTAGATGTTAAAGTAGGATACCAATACTCTCAAACTTTTCCATGAAATATAAAGGGAATGAACACTACAAAACTCATTCCATGAAGCTAGTATTACACTCATTCCAAAACTAGACAAGGACAAAACTACACAAAAAAGAGAATTATACACCAATCTCTTTAATGAAGCCAACTTGGCTTCATTCCAGGGATGCATGGCTGGTTCAACATACATTAATTAATAAATATAATATAGCACATAAACAGAATCAAGGACAAAAATCACATGATCATCTCAATTGATGCAGAAAGAGCCTTTGACAAAATTCAACATCCTTTCATGATAGCAGCTCTGTAGAATCTAAGAATAGAAGGAATACACTTCAACATAAAAAAGGCTGTAGATGACAAACCTATAGCCAACATCATACTAAGTGAGGAAAAACTGAAATCACTTCTTTTAAAGTCAGGAACGAGACAAGAGTGTCCATTCTTCCCACACTTATGCAATATATTACTGGAATACCTAGCCATGGAAAGAAATAAAAGGAATTCAAGTAGGGAAGTAAAAAGCCAAATTATCCCTATTTGCAGATGATATGATTTATACTTAAAAGACCCTAAAGATTCCACTACCGGAAAAGAAGCAAAAAAGCTACCTAGATTTGGCAATGTAGAAGGTTATAAAATCAGCATACAAAAATCAGTAGCTTTTCTATATAGTAACGATGAATAGGCTGAGAAAGAAATCAGGGAAATAATTTCAGTCACAATAGTCTCAAAAAAAAGATAAAATACCTAGGTATAAATTTAACCAAGAAGGTGACAGACCTCTACAAGGAAAACTATAGGAAGACTTCAGAAAATGGGAAGACTTCCCATGTTCTTGGATTAGCAGAACTAATTTCATGAAAATGGCTATATTACCAAAAGCAATCTGCAGATTCAATGCAATACCTATCAAAATTTCAATGCCATTCTTTGCAGAAATAGAAAAATCAATCCAAAAATTCATATGGAAGCACAAAAGTCACAGAATAGCAAAAGTAATCCTAAACAAAAGAGCAGCACTAGAGATATCACAATACCAAACTTCCATTTATATTGCAGAGTGAGACTAACAAAAATAGCATAGTACTGACACAAAAACAGTCACAAAGACCAATGGAACAGATTAGAAGACCCTGAAGCAAAAAACAAAAACAAAAAACAAGCAAAAAAATCCCACAGTCTGATCTTTGACAAGGGCACAAAAAACATACACTGGAGAAAAGACAGCCTCTTCAACAAACAATGCTGGGAAAAGTGGTATCAACATGTAGGAGACTGAAACTAGACACCCATCTCTCACCCTGGAGAAAAACTAACTCCAAATCAATCAAAAATCTTAACAGAAGATTTGAAACTGCTATGGAAAAACTCTGGAAGACATAGGCATGAGTAATAATTATCTGAATAGGACTCCAGCTGCCCAGAAAATAAGAGCAAGACTTATCAAATGGGACTGCATCAAATTTAAAAGTTTCTGCACATCAAAGGAAACATAGAATCACATTATGGGAAAATATCTTCACCAGCTACTCAACAGATAAAGGATTAATATCCAGAATATACAAAGAACTTAAGAGAACAAATAATCAAATTAATAAATGGGTAAATTAGACAGTTCTCAGAAGAAGAAATGCAAATGACTAATAAATACATAGAGAAATGTTCAACATCCTTAGCTGTAATGGAAATGAAAATCAAAACTACACTAAGATTTCATCTCGCCACAGTCAGACTAGCAATCATCAAGAAAACAAACAACAACAAATGCAGGCAGGGATGTGATGAAAAAGGAACCCTTATATACTGTTGGTAGGAATGTAAACTAGTGCAACCACTATGGAAATCAGTATGGAGGTTCCTCAAAAACTAAAAATAGACCCAACTGTGCCACTCTTGGGCATACATTCAAAGGAGTGTAAATAAATGTGTAAGAGAGATACCTACATATTCATGTATATTGTAGATTTATTCTCACAATAGCTGAACTGTGGAATCAGCTGAGGTGCCCAACAACCAATGGATGGATAAAGCATGGTAAACATATACCATGCAATATTACTCAGACATAAAGAAAAATAACATTATGTGACTTTCAGGAAAATGGATGGAACTGGAGATCATGTTGAGTGCGATAAGCCAGCTCAAACAGCCAAGTATATGTTTTAGCTCATTTGTAGAGCCTAGACTTAAAATGGTGGTGATACGTATGGTGATGACTATGATGATATGTGAAAGGGAGACTACCTGGGGGGACCAGTAGGAGGGAAAGAAGGGGGAGGGGAAAGGAAGGATGGAGAGAGGTGAAGAGGATAGAAAACTGTTACTGATATACATATGAAGACTGTTTGAAAACAGAGGGGGCGATGAGAGTACGACTGAGGCAGTGAACTCATTCAAAATACACTGTAGGCAAGTGTGGAATTATTGCAATGAAATCCCCTCACATTATTAATGTATGGTAATTCAAAAATAAAACAAAATATAAAAACAACTCCTTGAGGCATATACTAAAATCCACTTGTTTTTTAGCCTTAGGTTCTAGTAAGCATTTATCCTAAAGATGCTCTCTGGGTATCTGTCAAATAAAGAACTAGAATAATCAGTAATGCAAAGAAAGTCTGAGTTAAGACCCTTTCAACTGATGTAAGCAAAACCACTTCACAAAGAGGTGATTCCCTCCTGGCCTCTGTAGGCCTTACTGTTGGACTCATCTTTGGGAAAAATGGAATACAAACAATTATGCTGCTTTTGTGTTCCTATTGAATAGTGTTTAGTACCTCCTTTCCAAATTGTTATGAGAACACAAAAACAAGTTATGAGCTGTACCCCCTCTCCTTGGCCAAGTCAAAACTCAATGCTGTGAAGATGTAAGAAAGCTGTTGGGTGTGGCCTGAAGACACACCCAACATGACATGAAGCTCATTTCTACTTGATGTGCTTTTCAATTTCCTATGCAATACCATAAATAAAACATAAGGATTTCTTTGTAGTGTTGTGGTCTATGGTATTGATTCTTAAAACTCTATTTATAGAAGCTATTACACAACTTATGGGAGAATCAACTTTGAAAAAAGAAGCATCATAAACCAAAATATTAATTTTAGAGAGTATACTAAAATTTCAATTTTAAAAATGAGATAATTTGGTGAAAAAAAAGCTTCATGTCTTGTTTGAGGCCACACAACTGTTAGTAGCAGAATATTAGACCATCTCCTGATTTGGTGCTGTTTCTAGGAGTCTGGAAAGAAAAGTGGCCTCAGGACGATGACATTTGAATATGACAAGAGAACAGACGAGTTTGAGCACGGTTCAAATGTTCAGGGCTAAGTGACACTGTGTGAGCAATCATTTCCCTCCCAAGGATACATTTTCTTGACATTACTCCTACTTTTAAGTAGAAGAAAACCAGAAGGAAAGGAAGAAGATACCGAATGTAATAACTTTATGCAAATAGACAAATATTTCTTGAAAATGGCTATAACTACATTAACTAAGACATCAATGTTTGGACAAAGCTTTGTGGTGAGCAATTGCTGATAAAAGCCTGAGTCTGCTGAAGTCAGTGTGACACTTGTTGCTGCGAGCAGTCCCCTGAGCCAGGGTGATGTGTGCAAGCGTGGTTCCCTGACCTGTGTGGCTCTGTGCAAGGCTGAGGTAATGAAATCCTGAGCTCCACAAGGACCTAACTGTCATCACACAAAGGACTTTTGCTTGTTGGTGACAGAGGACAGGGCTCGAAAGAGGAGACGGGTGCAATAGTTACCTAGGCATGTACAGGACTCTCTCGGCCACCACAAAACCCACCCTGAAGAACAGGTTGCTGGCTGGGATGAACGGGAACACCAGGAACAACAAGCCCACTAATGCTTCCTTGTGCTCCAGCCTCTGAAACACACAACAGTGAAGGGCAAGTGAGTTTCTGTTTAATTCCACCTCAGGCAGCACGGCACCATCTCTTTCAGGTTCAAGTTCTCCATGAAGGAATGATGAGTTAAAGTGTGCAAAACTCTGCACCAGCATGCTGATTGATCACAGACAGTCCCAGGCTGAGCTGCTGTGAAAACATCAACGCACACCACTGACACATCTGCCACCAGAAACACCTGACATTGGCACGGCGTGAACCATGACCATAGCTCGTTGTTCTGGGCTGGGCCCTCAGCAACCCTGAGTCTTAGTCTGGCCCTTTTCAGAATCCCTGTTCCCCCAGGTACCTTGGGACAGTCCAGGGACAGAGCAGCGGGGCAGAATCAGGCACACAGAGTATGTCCTCTCCAAAAGAGAGCACATTTAAACAACAACCAAGAAGAGAAGAAAAGCTTGCCAGGAGAACCCAAGCTTACCATAGAGGAAATAGAATGCTAGTGGTAAATGTGGGGAGCCCATGATCATTTGAGCTGAAGAGTGTCTTAGCACTGCTCAAATGAAGCCAGTAAGCAAGTAATAAAGTATTTATTTCATGATTTTTTGTAATAAAAACTCATTATAAAAATTTATTTAATTGGGAAAGAACCTTATCCTAGCATTTGTACAGATTTTTAAAAATCTTTGTATAATTAATTAAATGTTGTATAAATTAACTTGTAAAGATCTTGATAGTTAAAATGTATTAAAATTTGTTTATTACTAAAAATGTGTTATAGAGGACATTATAAAAACAGTTCGTATTTCCATGTGTTTATATATGCATTAGAAGAGTTCTATTTAAAATAGACTTTAATGAATTGGTTGGATGCTATTTTTTAAGAAAGTCAAATAAAACTTTCCATGTTACCATATTCAATGTTTCCTATAAAATAAGCATTTTAGATAGTGTAGTAATTTTAATAACTGGAGAAGCATTAACAAAAGTATTTTGCAAATATAAATAAGATACCTTAAAAGGAACTACAAATACTTTAAGTATGCAAAGTAAAAAATTTTATACATCTTGAGTATTTGTCACCTGGATTTTACTAAAATCTTTGTTTTACTAACTATAACATATGCAATAAGAAAATTTCTAAGAGCAATTCCATATTGGACAGTTTCCCCAAAATAAATTAGTTTGAGTAATAATGATCTCATTTTTGACCTAAAGGAAACATACGCTTTAGATGAAAAAAAAAGTTGTATTACAAGCCTTCAACTCAAATGAATGCAAAAGGATGCTGTGTTTCTAGAATCTCCCAAAAATTCACAAAAAAGATAAAAGGAGTGAGTTCATTTGCCTTAAAAGCTGCAAACTGTGTTTGTAGCTTGTATCACCATTTGAGTTTACAAAGTACATTTCAATTCCAGTACTTAGAGCACATAATTTAACAAAGAATAACCATCCTCATGAGAATCCCACAAGAGCAGGTATTTCTTGCTCATGTTGGAAACAGAGCTGGAGACTGTGGGTCTTCCTGCAAATTCCTACTGAGTTCTGAACTTATAACTGAGTAGCTACCTGATGTTTTCTTTATGTAGGTGCACTTTCAGTTTTTAGTTTTTAGAGTTTTTGGATTGCCTCTTTTGACTCTTTTCAAAAGCTGAAATTCTTTTTGCAAAGGCATTTGCATGTCTTCCCAAAGAGGTTTCTGACGAGAACATAATACACCTTATATTCATCCTAAGAAGAAAGAGTGCAGGTACAAGCCATCTCCCATCAGGCCATCTTGGTGTCCCCAGATGGCATTTTCCCCAATGTGCTACATCCTTGCCCGTTATCAAGGTTTTAGAGAACAGCCACCATCAGAGACCTGAAAGAGGCCTGGCCTTCACATCCTAGTATCACACCTCCTGCTTGATAGGCACCACCTTCCTCGCTGTGGTGGGCATCCATTTCCTTCCTCTACAGAGGTATGAGAGCCTGGACAGCCACCAGAGGGAGAGGCTCCTTGTCCTTCAGGTGGAGGTCAGATGAGAGCAGAGGCCAGCCTCCCTGTCTCCTCCCTCCCAGAGCCCTTGCAGTGGGCAAAGGATGCTGTTGAAGACATAGAGATGCAATCACCCTCCCCCAGAAGACTGATGCTCGAATTGGAAAATCCCAGTGTGGGTTCCTTTGTTCCTCCACCAGGTTCTTCAGGGCCAAGCACAGTAGTCACTATTTCCATTAGGACAGTCTTCCCAGTTGTGACCACACATTTGCCTGAGTGTTTCGTGTTTTAAAGGTCTGGCTTCCCACTGGTTCCTGTGCTTCACAAGGGCAGGGAGCTCATCGGCTGGGTTCACTAGCACAGGACTGATGCTCACATGAGTGCCTGGCGTGAATATTTGCTAAATAAATCAAATGTACCACATAAGAGAGGAAATGAAGGAAAGAGGGGAGGAGGAAGAGAGAGCTCAATGGGGAGGTGATAATCTGAGCTTGAAAAATGAACAAATACTTACAAGGCAAATGTGCCATAGCCAGACACATTCCAGGGAGAAGATAAAGAAAAGCAGGGAGTAAGTCTAGATATACTGGCAGGTGTCAAATCACAAGGGTCTTGTATGCCTTGCTATGGAATTGACTTTCACCTTGAAGCTACAGTAAGCTACTACTGGGATTATCACACATAGAGAGAAAAGCAAGTGAGTGTTCAGGGTCAATGTAGAGACTCAGGTTGTGGTTCTGCCACCTATACCATTATTCTCTTGGCAGCATGCTAGCCCTACCAAACTCAAAGTGAGACATAAGTTACTCAAGACTTGGTGGGGTTGGCCACTGCAAAGATTTAGTGAGCACCGAAAGTCCTTATTATGGGAATAATGAGCTATGAGCTAAGAGGCCACCACTCTGGACCATTACAGGGGGCTGGGATTACTGGGTCTTTTTGTTTTTAAAAACATTTAATTGAAGACAGTGGTACAGTACCCAAATTCAGTATTTTATTATTCTATTTTATTTTGAGAAAAAATAATATTCACGAAAAAAAATCTGTCTTCCATATAAATTGATGGTAATATTCACTGTCTTCCCTCCTCTGCATTCAGTCAAGAGAGATTACAAATATTCACAAATGTATGTCTTTAAACAGCAAGTCAATCTGAAAAGCAGCAACTTGTAAAATTAGGAAAAATACATCATAACCATGGCCGAATTTCCTAGAATGAGAACGATTGGGAGGGAACCCAATTTTCTACCTTGTGAATCACTGATGTGACAAAATTGGCTAAAGAATTTATAGCTTATTTCAGCCCAATAAGTTCTGATGTAACTCAAATAAAATATAAAGGAAAAAAACAAAATTTTGTGACATTTTTCAAGGTGCACATTTGTTTCTAGGAAAAGAGGCAAATGAGCATTAGGAAAGGAAGGGCCTTGAGAATGACAGCATCAACAACACAATCATTAATAATTCACGCTGTTTGGCTGATTAGCTCTGCAACATCAGGCAAATGAATCCACTGAGCTTTAGTTTGATGAAAGTGTCACTGATACCTATTGTAGCTATAGGCAAAATGTGTGTTAGATTCACTGGGATAGGTGTTAGACTTGATTCTTGGTTTTTGGCTTGGGAGAAAAAGTCTTTCCCCCTGAGCTGTAAAGAGGTCAAAAATCTCATCTTAACATCCTGCTTAGCGAGTCCAGAGCCTTTTTCAGATACCATCCACATAGACACACTACCACTTGGGTAAGGGAAGAGCAGAGAGCCTTTCTCAGATCCATAAACTGCTTCAGAGGAAAGTCAGCTCCAAGGTCTGAGTCTAACCTGGTAGCTTCTGGCTTATGTCCTCCCTTCAGACTCCCCATTTACCTTTCAAAGCACAGATCACAGGCAAAGACACAAATATATACACATGCATGTGCACATGTACACACACATGCAATCATGAACACAAGCACACATGCACACAACACCCGTGTGTGGTCAGTCCAGCAGCGTATGGTAAGTATTCATGAAAAGAGGACTCCTCCTTGCCCAATTCACCTATTGCAGATTGTTTCCTTCCAGAGAGGCAGAAAACAGGCTTATAATACGAATTATCACCCTCGCTGCTACTATATTTTTTTCTAAAGTTTCACGGAAAATAGTACAGGGCCCTAAGTGTGGTTACAAAGTTTTACAAATTGTGGTTGTATTTCAATCCTCAGGATTTATTCCGTAGCTCCCATGCATATTTCAGTTTATCTGGCACACACATAACTGACACGCAACAAAAAGACGCCCCAACAGTGATGAATCCTCATGATGCTCACTATATTCTCTCAAACACTTACATAACCATTTTTTTTTGAGGAAGTCCTCTGAAACACAGTCTTTGCAACACTGATTCGGTGTGAGAAGTCTTCAATCCTTGAGTGTCTTGCAAGGGCTTAGCAGAGTTGGTTCATACTACTGAGCCTGTTCATCAGGATGCATGCCTGCCTCTGCACTTCTGTAATTTATCCACTGCTACTTGTTCTCACAGCAAAGTGACCTTCTAGCCCAGGAAAAGCGACATCCTTCACTTTATTGGATTTCAATTTCAACTGTTTGAATATTTCAATGTATTAAAATTTTCAATAATTTATTATTATTATCATTATTGTTGTTGAAGTTCTTTTTAACTGAGAAAGCCAAAGGTTTTTTGTCAAGAGATCCACCGCTGCTCCAATGGATTGCACATCCCACCTCACCTCTCAGGAGGGCTTTGTTCTGAATTCCAGATGGAACTGAGATGGCGGTATGGGCTGTCAGCTCACTCTCTGGTTAAGTGACTCCCAAATAACAGCCTGTAATGTGGCAACCCAATCTGTGTAAGTTTAAACAAATCCTAATTTAATATCACAAATCTATGAAGATAAAGATTATTGTCCTAGTTCTAAAATCTTTCATGCCTTACATTTTTGGTTCCTTTGCAAAAAGCTGAAACTATAATCAGCAAAAATGACTTGGGCTGACTGCATTAGTCCCATGAGAAGTTTTCCTCAAGGCCACAAAGACCTAAGGTCTTCA